GGCCACAACAAATAGCATCTAAATACGTATCCCAATTCAAACGGTTCGTTTGTGGGGAAAGCCATTGAGATCAGTTCGTGAGATCAGTTCGTCGGCGTTCGTTAGGTGACCTCTCATCGACCTCGAACCCACTCGTGACCTCAAAGCGGTTGGCAATAGATCTCTCGGTTTCACATTGGTCCTTTGGTCTGACCCAGTACCTTAAGCTACCACTCGCGACCCAGCTACCAAGGTGACACCGTACTCGCAGCGTCTGTTGGGCACATCAACTCAGGACAAAGAAAACCTGGACCCGACTTCAAGTACCTTGGAAAATGGGACATGACCCCATAAAAACAGGTACTTGTACCCCTTTTCCAAGGTACGAACGGGTCGACTCCAGGTACATTCATCATGAACCCTACGTCACGAACATTCAGCGAGGCATGGCCTCAGTGATGCGATGCTGTTGCCCATTCCCGGATGGCCGGCTGGTCGGCAGAAGCACAGAACGCTGCCGAAACAATTTTTCAGGGTGGTCAGCATGCTGGAACAACTGTAGCCTGCCCCTTTTGTGGCGTGCTGGGGAGGACCATCCATGACCATCCAACAAGGCGACTGCAGCATGAGCTGACCAATTTTCATGTCTTGCTTCTCATGACTCGAGGCAAACCCTTTTGGTTGATCCAAGAAATGTCTGGCTTCATGGATGTTCAATACGGACAAAGCAATCTTCATGGGAAACAGTTCTGAAACACATCTATATACACATGCTGGGTCTACAGCCAATGTTGGCCGCAACATGCAGTGAGGCTGGCAATGATGTTGCCAGGATGTGTATCATACCAGAGGTCGCATGAGGGTCGGTCGGTGAAGGGCGCTCCTCCCGCCGTTGTCTCAGGCGCTGATCGATGTCGCGGACTGAAGGATTTGCTCGTCCGGAAGAGGAGGACTGATCACGAACTGTTGAGACGCCGAGAACGAGCCCAAAGTCTCTGAAGAGCCGAATGGATCAGGATGTCCGCAAACAAGGATGCTTCCTTCAATCATTCTATAGTCATTCTACTGACATTCAAAAGCTCTTCACGTGATTTCATGGTTCTTCACCTCCGTTGTCCCGCCCAGAACCAAAGAAGGACCGCTTTTAACGACCGGAGAGGGGTGGAGGCAACACCCTATAGGAATCCGCGCCCTCAAACAAATACCCAGGCACTCCATGTATGCCATATATGCCTATACATTGGGGTGGTTTGGGGGGGTCAATGTAGGCATATACGGTATACATGGAGTGTCTGGGATAGGGTTTTGAAGGCCCTCAACGAAGTTTTCGGGTCGAAGCCCTGCCATGGAGGGCCTGTCTGTACGGATTCTTTGGGTGAGGTAGTACACATAAATGCACATGCCCTAGGGATCCAGTCGTACCCGTCGTACCTTCTCAGAAGGTACTTGGACCCTCCAAACCTACATAACAGTGTCTCCAATCACCTTCTGAGAAGGTACTTGGGATCCTTAGGGATGTTTTGCCGGCATCTTTTCACATGGGGCACTCCTTAGCCCTTGCAACATGCTGGACAGGAATGGCACAATAAGTCGCCCCAAACATGTTCAGGCTAGCCCTCGCCGAGAACAATACTACCCGTGGCATGTGCCAATGATAGCCTCAAAGGCTCTAGGAGAGCGAAAATGCAAGGCAGGGACCATCCACAACCCAACCAATGATGTCCTTTTGGGAAGAGTAGCTTCGATTTTGGTGTCACCAACCTATTGGCACCTGGGGGTGGAGACCCCTCAATTCATCCAATCCAATAAATCCATTGCAACCCCCGAGGATGCTGGGGCGCCAGACCCTGGCACTGGTCCTCGCGCTTGGGAGCGAAGGCATGCGAAATCGCTCCCGACACGGTGGTCTTTCGGCACGGTCCACGGGCGCCTACCTTCCCCAGTCGACTGGTGCGAGACATCCGCTCGACCTCCGCTCGGCACGTCACCGACCCCGGTCATCACCGACCCTGTCGTCACGGGCCGACCGGGTCGTGAGGGGTCCCTTGGCCCGGTGCGGCCCGGAAGACCCAGAAATCTGATTGAGCACGGCCAGGTAGTTCCTTCCACTTCAGATTCAGTGATTCTATTTCCTTCCGCGTCACTGAGAGTGTAGATCACCACAAGACTTGAAGACTGAAAGCGGGAGCTGTTTCTTGACAACTAGATTGTTTTGCGAAGCCCGCAAAGGTTGCACCTGTTGGGCTCTTGTATTATATGCAGTATATGCTACGTATTCTGCTTCTACCAGGACCTTCAAAGTGACCTTTTGAGATCCTAGAATGAGGTCACTTAGTCCCTAAAGAGGTCACTTAGAGACTCCAAAAAGGTCACTTTGAAGGTCCTGCGTAGATCTTTCCATTGTTGCAAGCGATTCAGTGACCGAATGCAGCGCAGTCCAACATGCTCCCTTGTGAACCAGCAAGCACATGGGGCGCCCCCATCGTTGGATGAATAGAAGACACCAGGGACAGAAGTCGAGTCGCTCGGACGTCGTGACCAGTCCCGACATGTCCCCAACCCTTACGTACGTACCGATTCGGACGTTCTTCAATCACCCGCTCGGTCGTTCACCGGTATAGTCGACGACTGAGTCGTCCGCCCATTCAGCCGTTGCTACGAGGGAACCCGGAGAGGTCGACTCCAGGGTCCTTTCCTGCCTCCCTGGTGCCTCCCTGGTGCCTCCCAGGCTGTCCAATTAGTCCTATGTCGAACGAACACACGACACGGTCAAGGGCCTAACTCCCTGGTCCGGTCGACGAAACAGACCGAAGCGAGCGCCTTCCGGGTGAATCCGAGCGACCGGTTTGGCTGTCAAAAGCCGATAGGTTGAACTGCTTAGTGTAGTCTATTCTGTTAAGCTTATACTTAAGCTAATATATACACCAAACAAAACACACTTGGGGGCGAAGGTCCTAAAAGAGGGGAAAACATGGGGGATCGTCTGTGCAGGGGCACCCGTGCTTTCATAAAGGCAGGAAGGAATTCTTCTTGAAAAGTAGCAATGGACGCGAGCGTCTTCCTCCCCTTACCCCTTTCCGGAACTGCTTCGCGCAAGGGGAAGAACGGTCATTGCGCACAACTGTCGAACAATCGCTCCCCAGTGGCACCATCTCGACGGTCGCACGACAAACGTTCAAGAACACAAAAACAAAAACACACACTGTTGTTTTAGAAAGAACACACATACAACACAGCTTTTTCTTGTGTTCTTGCAGAAAACAGACACACTTACCACTGTGTGTTCTTTTTGATCTCCCGGGTCACTTGCAGTGGTAAAACGATCATGACCCGGCCTCAAAACCTGGATCCCACACGACAGAACAAGCTCTCCTTGCAGCGGTGTGACTGGGCCTCACGCCGCTGTTCGGTTTAGCAGGCTGCGTTTGAGAGGGATACTCTGCCCTAGGGCTCCAAGGACCTTCTTAGAAGGTGCTTGGGGTGGGTTTAGAGGGTCCAAATACCTTCTAAGGAGGTACTTGGAGCCCTAGGGCTGAGGTTCTTGTTTCGTCTCTTTGGGCAAGAGGTTTGGCCACCCAGGAAGGCGGAGAGATAGCAAAGAGGTAGCAACGTAGTTTCCCTTGGACCGCAAGGAAGCGACCAAATGCAAGGACACTGAAAGGATCAAATTCTTCTGGGAACCTTCCTTGCTGGAGATCTTCCTCAGTTTCCGGCTGCTTGAGGGAACGTAAGTACATATGACCCTTGGCGGGAAGTTGACATGACCCTGTCCTCATCATGACTCCATAGCAGATTCTGTTGCCAACGGACCGTCAGAACGCACCAAACCTATGGGCTAGGGCTAGGGGGAAGAAGACAAGATGGAAGACCCTCCATGATAGGTCGGCTGTTGGTCAAAACCGGGCCCACCCTGGGAGAGACCACAAAAAATGAACAAAATGGACCAGGACCTTCAAAGTGACCTCTTTGGAGTCTCTAAGTGACCTCTTTAGGGACTAAGTGACCTCATTCTAGGATCTCAAAAGGTCACTTTGAAGGTCCTGGGATGCCCTTCAAATTAGATGGTCAACCGCCGACCGGGGATCCTCGAGGTTTGGACCCAGCAAAAAGAGACCAGTTTGTTCGTGACCTTTTGAAAGAAGGTTCCTATTAATATGTGACCCAACAGGCTTCGGCTTGTGACCGTGACCGAACCAATCAGGTCATCAAGTTCGGTCACGAACTGAAGAACGAACCAGGTGCTTTAGACCGATGCTGTGAGCTTCCGCTCTGGCCAGTGGATGCCGACGCTCACGCGCGGCATGTGTTCATGAACTCATGGGCCAATGAACTGATGTGTGAACATTGGGTCTCTCCTATTACCTTGTATACAAGTGGATTATGATGGTTAGGTTGCAGGCCTTGTTCAAACATGATCATATTCATTGTTTACTGACTGTTACAGGTAAGTTCGGACAGACCCTATGTGAACATATTCCAGTCCCATTTCTCTGGTCCCAGACTCAGGGACGCCCATGCCTGTCAGACCGACTCACAGAAAACAAATCGGACTCTCCACCTGTTCGAGTGGGATATTCCCCATCCAGAAGGTTCTTGGAGGTCATCCATGTACTGCATCGTACTTCCAGGCCAGGCCAAACACTGTTTTTTTTTTGGGGGGGGGGCGCTCCCGAACCCGGATGGGCTCGATCACTGGTGGACATGTCTAGTGCCTCCTGAAGTGCCCGAGTATACGGGCTCCAGTGAGGGTCGGACGCTCCAGTCAATCGCACTGGAGCCCCAAAAAGGGGGGTGGAATTGACATCATGACCTACATTGATCCCGAAAAAAAAAAAAAAACACACACACACCAATGTATCCCCAATGTAAGCATGTCATACATGGAGGGGTCTGGAGGCCTTGCGGGACCTTGCATGAATTCTCCTCTCTTTCTCACTGCCTGCCAGAGTTTCTCCTCTTCACTCCGAAATCAACTAGCCTACAGATCATGCAAAGGCCATCTTTGTCAAAACTGAAAAACTCAAGCAAGTGTATACTTCCTCAAAATCTCAAACCAAATCCAAACCACCTGGCGGCTCTCTCTCTCTCAACATCCTGTTTCAACTCCGGTTCGAAGCCATGTCCGTGGCTCAGAAGATGGGTGGGCATCCAATCTCACATCATCTCACCAGAAAGTGCTGTTTGTTGCGTGTGGCATGGCAGGCGGCAGGCGGCTGATATCGGCTGATCGATGCTGGCAGCTCCATTTTCTTTTTTACCTGACCGTCAAGCGTATCAAAAACAAGGCTCACCGACTGGAGAATGACCTGTTTGTCCGGTTTTTAGAGGATGGAAGCGACCCCGCCTTTAAAGTTCTTCACTCTTCTCCACTGAACCAAATCAACAGAGAATGTATCTATTCTACTATTCTCCCTTCTTAAAGTTCTTTTAAAGTTCATTTGGTACGTAGGTATCTCACCAAATCAACGGCAGCCATCCGGAGCTAAGACACGGTGGAACTCCGCCGGTGCTGCGCGGCTCTCGTCGGGTAGGAGGCGACCTGGTGGACGCGAAAGAAAAAGATTCGACTAGACTCCTAGACCAGCAATGATGGTGGGCACTTCTCTTTTAGCACAAGTCACATGGAAAAGAACCTACGAATTTATAGAGAACCATGGTCTTCCACCAGCATCCTCACTGCGTCATCGGAGACCAAACCCGTTTTCATTCGGCCAAGAACCCCAACTAACCCTCGAACAAGAAGAAGCGGAGTGGAGTCGGAGTGGAGTCGAGATGGGAGTCGAGATGGAGTGTACCATGCCATCCACTTCACATTTGGAGTGTACCTGGACCCGAAAAGGACCGTTCGTGAGCGATTTCATGGGATGTCTGACACCATTAAAAACAGGTACGACTGAGTCCCCCATTTTCCAAGGTACGAGGGAACTCGGGTCGACTCCAGGTAGAGATGTCTACGACTTTGGGTGTGGCGACCAGCCCATCGAGCAGCCCAGCGTGCACAGAGCTTCGACCGACTCGGGTTCTGGATCATGCCAAGTGAGTGTGGGGCGAATGCAGGAGCGGTGCTTTTGGGCGGTTTTTGTGAGGTGGCTGACGGACAGGTCGAAAACACCTCTCACTCCAACTGACGTTTTTGTGATAGAACACCCAGTTAACACTCAATCATCTGCCCAAAACCTTGAGCCCTACTCAACTGTTCCATGAGGTTCACCGTTCTTGTTGAGTGGGGGGTCACCAATCCCCCAAGAAGCTTTTGCAGGTTATCCGATATTCGCGGCTATGTTCTGTGAGGGGATTCACCAGCCACACAGAACATGGCACTCACCATGACTCAGCAGAAACCCCCGCGAAACCGCCAGCTCGACTGGCATGGCTCCACTGGCGCTTCACGTTCTCGGTGGGTCAGTGTACCGGTCCCCTTCGCGCTGTTTGATCAAAACAACACTCACACACACCAACTGACTATGAAAGTGCGAACGAAACATTGAACGATGTCTATACATCATCTATTCTGACCCAGCAATGGTGATGGCAGTTCAAAAATCAGTGCCAGCAATCCCGAAGCTCTCCATCCTTGAGTGTCTTATCATCTTAGATGTGCTCGGAAAGAGGATGCCTGGATACATACACCTGACAAATGCCCCAAAACCGGAGACGTGAGTTCACCCGCTTCTCATCATGCTCCCACGAAGCAAAAGGTCTCGTTCCCGGCGGCAAGGGGCCTGTCCGCTGCGGACTCTGCCTGGCACGAGAAGAAAACTCGACTCGCGCGGAATCTGTGGGGGGTAAGTGGACCGCTGGGAATCTGTGGCCCCACGACAAATCTTCCAAAGAATACACTCCCTGAAAGAAAAACTGGAAGTGGATGGCATGGTTTGTGTTTTTGATGATTTTCCTCTACAAACAGGGGTGAACTTCACGTTATTTTTGGAGGGATGGTCCTCATCTGGACTTGTCCACTTCATGCCATCGACCGATCGACCACCAGCGTATACCGGCGCAGCGTGGTGTTGCAAGCGCCGGCAGCGTCGACCAGGGCCCCACTGTGGCGAGCCATACTTTTGGACTTGCTTGTCCACAGAACTACAGGCCATTGGAGGGCCGTGACCAGCTGCTGAATCAGGACCAAGCCACCCTGAGAATCCATGTCAGGCCACAGCAGAGCACTGCACTGCACAGCAAAATCCAGGAAGGCGGGAACCAATAAACATCAATAAACGTCGAAATCGACTTGAACGAACAAAGGAAGAACTGCCTTGAACTGAAGAAGCGTGCCTGGATGTCAGTAAGTGGTGTCCATGACCCGACATCAGGGGGCATCTCATATGGCTGTGGGTCATGACATGTCCTGCAGTGACCCCTGGTTGACCACAGAAAATGAGCAGACTACTGGTTGGACAGCTTTCCACACTCTTCGCCGCGAAAAGCGATCCGCATCCCGAAGCCGCGAATCAGAGAGGCGCATTCAGAAGCCGCTGGTTCTCCGGTCAGGCGCTGATCTGGTTTGCTGCAACACTCGAACACCATGGAACACTCGAACCAGATCAAGGAACTGTAGGGAACTCACGGTGGCGCTTCGTTGTGCGGCTGCAGCGGAACGTTGCATGCGACGGTCTGACCTGATCCACCCACACCGTCGGGCCCGCGGTGTAGAAGGGTTAAGTAAGCTAGCAGTTCGGCGTTGAGACCTGATCGTATTCCCATGACGCTATGCTGGTTGTCGGGGATAGCGTTCCCAGACACGACCTGTCTGGGACTGCCATAGGACTGCCGATCAGTTGGGGTGGTTTTGGGGGTCAATGTAGGCATATATGGCATATATGGAGTGTCTGGGATAGGCAACCCCCCCAAAAATGGAGTCCAAGTCAGACCAATGATCAAGTAGAATCTTCAGTCGAACGTGAAGTGAGCAGAGGGGACGCGGAACAACACCAGCAACATCCAGCAACTGTCACGGCATACATCGGAACCGTTTTAACAGCCCCTCATGGCACCAAAAGATACATTACAAGCTATAGCATTACAAACATCCGCCATTCGTGAATCTGTGGGACTGTGCAACACCATCGCCTGAATCTATCGTCTCCCTATGGATCCACATGCCTTCCCAAAAGGAAATCGGACTCTCCTGGCGCCTACATAAATAGTCCAATCACCGTACCTCAGGTTTGGTATGGAGATCCGGGTCTCAAACCAAACCCAGCAGGAGGTCAACTCCGAAGCCGTGCCACCCCGCGACCTCACGACCGGTCCACCGAGCCTGAGGTACCGGTGACCGTCGTTCGCCGCGACCGGTCGGGGTCTTTGGGAACCACTGGTGACCGACATCGTGGCTTGCCTGGATGCCGGCTAGGGATCCACTGTCTCTGAAGGGACTTGGACCAAGAAAGAGCTAAACATGATTAAACATTGCATCCTTATATATTGGTTGTTGGGTAAATTTGCAAAATGCTGGGCCACGCCTTTTAGGGACCACATTCGCAACCTTCCCCCAAAAACGTATCGCTGGTTCTCCCCACACGAATGGATCCCCTGTTTCCTTCGCAGCTCGAACCTCCTCTCGGGGACTTGCGTGGTGTTCCAGCCTCGGGCTTGACTGGGGGCTGGACGGAGAATGTGAGTTCTGGAATATCTCGTCTACACACATGCTGACATCGTCTGACATCCAAATACCTGGATGGTCATTTAGTGATCTTAACAAATCATCTTCAAGCAGGCAGGCCGCTCTTGCTCCTATTGTTTGTTCGAAGTTGGGAAATAACATCCTGAAAACACATCGACATTCTAACTTATACAGTCCGTAAGTATACTCATTAACAGTGGTTTCAAAGGTTCGATGGCACTGGCGCCTGCATAGATGTCTGAGATATAGAAAGCTCCATCTTCACCACTGACATCGAGGGCCCAAACGTGCCATCGAGCCTCTGAAACCACGACTTCCCGTGCTCAGCGCAGGGCATCCCGGATCGCCGCTCTCGCTCCGAAAACGCTCCTGGCGCGGTGGTGGTGGGGTTTCTCCCCCAGAACCGAGGCCGATCGGTGCGAGGCGATGTTTGTTTTTTCCGCATTCTTTGGAGCTGTTTTTTTTGCAGCTAAATTAAGCACCCCAAAGATGAAATGTTTGTTTTATCGAACGAGGGGCATGTGTCTGTGTGGTGGGGGTTCTTGGGAACAGGAGTGTCATGAACCAACTCTTCCAAAGAGTATCTGTTCAGGATTTCCCACATCTATGCAAGAACATGAACAACAAAGAGCATAGAGTTTATTGAATAACCCCAAACAATTTAACCCCAAAACCCCCGTTTTTCAAAGAAACCGCCCGAGAAACGGCCCGATTCGCTGGACGTTCCACGCGTCCCAGGTTCACGCGTGGTTCACCCGATCCGAAGGGGTGGAAGACCTTGCATCCCTCAGGGGTGATTCTTTTCACATACCAAAACAACTTCTTGTTACTAGTAGCAATGGCCTCCACCCTAGTATAGTTTCTTGCTACTAGTAGTGATTAAAAACATTACTATAAACAGTTTCTTGTTACTAGTGAAACGATTCCCAGCGAGGAAGCTTCCTTCTAAGACATAGTATACTTGTTTTTTTTCTCCCACCTTCAATCACTCACTGTGATGGACCTGCGACCTGGAGGGGATCTGGGGATGCGACCCTGAGGACCAAACCCTGTGGCCTTTCGAACGAACATCCGGACCGCGAAACCCCCATCTGGTCGCCTCCGCCGTTCCTGGAAACACCGGAGGACCTGGAAGCATGCCAAGGCGATGTGAACGGGCGCGAAAAGCAGATGCGGCGCGAAAAACGAAGGTTGGAACAGGACATGTTTGATTTCAGATATCAGTTGGCCTGGAAAACAACATGGAAACAGGAACCAGGTCTTGGCTTTCAGAATGTGAAGACTTTAAAGGACAGAAGGTCTGCCAAACTGCAGCAGAAAGGGGATGCCGCAAAGGACCTAGGAACTTCCAAGACCATTAAAAGACAGGTTGACCCGGATTTGTCGAAAATCCTTATCCAAACCATGGTTGCTCGGTAAAACACAATTCAACCAATGAGGGTTCGAAACCGCTTTGTTGTATGAAGCAAAACGCTAGGCACCATCTCGTAGAATATTATATTGTACCGAGGTGTCCTTTTATCCCCATGTGAGCGGGCTTTTGGAGATTCGGGTGAGGAATATTGCAAATTGCGTCCAGCCCTTGGGATCCACATACCTTCTCACAAGGTACGACTGGACCCTCCAAACCTACATGAAAATGGGTCTCCAATCACCGTACCTCATGTTTGGTGTGTGCATGGATCCATAGGGCAAGAAGCCGAAAACAAAGCATCTCTTCCCGGTTTGGGATTCACCCCCGATGCGGAGAAGCCTCATAGGACCCAGCTGTCTTTTCCGCCACAATAGTTCGGTGCGGACATGACCTCAACCATGCTCAACCTCTTTCCTTTGCCACCCCTCCCCAGGCGCCAGCGCGCCTGGAGCCTCCGAAGGGATCCGGTCGCAGCGCTCGCCCGAAGGAGCTGCCCGTGGTGCGTCGGCGGCCGGCCTCGTTGGAGTCCTTAGGCGGCACCGGTCACAGGCACCGTATTAGGAGGTACTAGGAGGTGTAGGGTCCAGTAGGGTCGGTCTTGGAAGGGGGAGACCGGAGACAGCAAGACGAACGGAGGTGACATGTCCTAATCAACGAAAAGCTGATGTGGGAGAGGAATGGCAAATGGATCACCTTCTTCTGTGATTGGTTTGGAACCCTGATCAATGACAACTGGAGCAACTAGCTGGCGCCCACGACCTGTTGAGCATCACGCAGGAAGAACAGGGAGAACATGACTGGAAGAACCGGTGATTTGTCTCAATCTAGGCAGGTCCTTCAAAGTGACCGAACTTCATATCATGATCATTATCCAAGTTTGAGGTCCCTGTCAGGTAAAAGGTCATCTAGGACTCTAAAAAAGGTTGACAGTTCTTTCTTCTGTTCTGAAACCAGGGAACCTCGGGAAATTATCCGGGTTCTTCAAAGTCACCTTTTGATAACCTGGTTTGAGGTCACTTAAGCCTCCGAAGGGTCACTTGGTAAGGAACCTTCAAAAGGTCACTTTGAAGAAGCTGGATGGTTATGTTATACCGAGTTCTTGATCCAAGATGTAAATTTGACCATGCGAGGAATCGAGGAACATCATTTAGCTGCCAACTCGCAACTCTACATATTCTTCTGGAATGCACAAGCCTGTGTTCGCGACTCCGGCAGTGTCGACCAAAACAAGACAAAGTTCGCGGAGCTTTCCACTGGTTCTTGCTGTGTCTGGGTACTCCCCAAATCCGTCCCCCAAGAAGGCATTGGAGGTGTTCTGCGTACTGACTAGGCCCTGCCACCCTCCGATGAAGGTGCCATGGTCGGGTCCAGTCGTACCGTACGGAGGGTCCAGTCGTACCAGGGGTCCCAGGACCTCCAAGCTCCCTCGCGCTCGCTCGGGTGGAGGTGGTGCTGCCTGGGCGCAACCAAAACAGTGAACTGTTGGGGTAGTGAGAGCATGAAGGGTATAATTCATGAGAGGCCCTCCAAATCTGTTGATGTGGGTGGCAAAAGCGTGCAAACATCTAGGAATAGTACGAACAGGGTCGGACTGGAGTGGTTTTGCCTCTTGATGATGGCTCACGAACGAGACGTTCTTGCGAAGCGGCTGCCATCAAAACTCATAGGCCCGGAACAGTCCCTTCACTCCCTCTCGAGGAGACTCCAGTTTGACTCTCCATCACGTCATTGCATGGAGACTCTCGTCCCGAACGAACGTCTCGTCTCGTAGGCTATGGCAGCCATGACCCAAACAACCAAATGAAAGCGGGCCACGAACTCGCTCGTGTGTCCAACCTCTTTTGGGGGCTGTTGGGCGCAAGACTCCTTCGCATGGCCTCGATCAAGTCCCAAGACGTTGCTTGGATTTCCATGGATTTCCTGGAAAAAATCCGAGCTGTTTTCCTTTTTGCCTGATCTGTTTGCTTTTAGTGGGGTGTCGCCAATCCCAAAAGGCTCGGGCAGGTTATATACGTATGCTTTAGGTTTTTCAAAAAAAACCTGAAGTCATGAAAGACTCCTCCATTTGCATCATCTCTCCTCGTCAATCCCATTACCAGGGCCCAGGGCACAATGATGATGTTCTTTCCAAAAAATGGACGCACCCCAGTCCAATCAATAGCATCTTCCTGGACCCTCCAGTTCGTACCTTAGAAAATGGTACGTGACCCCATTTAAAAAAAACAGGTACGACTGGTACGTCCCCATGTTCCAAGGTACGAACGGGTCGACTCCAGGTTCTCACTCATCTTCCATTTCCTGCTCAGCCCCCTCTCAGGTGTTCAAAGGTCCATCAATGCCCACGCACCGAACCCGACCCCTCTTGAGGCCCACCGAGGTCCCTGCGGCCAAGGGCTGCCGACTGCGGTCGGTCGCTGACCGCGTGACGCTCGGAGAGCGACCGAAGGAAGAAAACGTGACACGTGTCGTGGAGCGCCCCTCCGAAACTGCTAGGGGTGGGTGCCACCGGGGATCTGACCACCGAACCTAAGGATTCATACATACATATACATATGTATATATATATATATTGGTGGGTGCGTGGGCCTCTTTAACTGTTGGGACCCAAGATATACTCTGCTCTCTCTCCTCACAGCCATACGGTCAAGCCGGTAGCCTAGTCAACATGCACCTAATTAATCACTGGATGGTAGTCCGGCCCCCTCCTGGCCGTATTCGGGAGTCGCACCCGAAGAGCCTCAAGGAGTGGTTCCCACTCCATGGGCAAATCTTCAGGAACGGCAGCTGATCCCCTTTCAAGCAAGTAGTCGTGGATGACTGTGCTCAAAACACGACACAAAGCTGGGGGATAGATCTTCAAACGTGCCGTCAGCCACTCACCTTGGTCATTTCGTCCTATTGAGATCGTTTTAGGGAGGCTTTGCACAACCCGTCCTTCCAAGAAGCGTCGTTGAACCGTCGATGGTGGGTTGCACATTAAAAAGGACGTGGGCTTCGGGCTCGGCGCCCCAAATTGGCCCTGCCAGATATTGAAAAGTGCAACATTCTTTTGCAACAGAAGGAACTGTAGCACAGGTAGTCGCCATATATAGAGGCGGCGTGCTCTTCAGGCGGGCATTGGGGGTGTTCTAGAAAGAAGAAGGCCCCGTGGACAAGCGCCAGGCATGCCAACATCACGGCTATTCCAAGTAACAGGTTCCCTGTCATGAGCTGTTCAAACTGGCCGAGTCGCAGTTGCGGAAGTCCATGTAGTGAAACTGCATCTCGCAAGATCATTGGCCCCCCATCTTGGGCCCCGTGTAATCGGGCCCTTGACCATGTTTCACAAGGTGGTCCGCACCCTGCTGCAACTAAAAGTCCCAGTATGATGGCTTCTCGGAAGCGTGCGAAAACTTCCGGACGGGCGAGGTTGCCCAGTTGTTCTGAGAATACTATGTCGACACTCAAGACAACAAGGTTGTGGCTACCAAAGCTGATCTTTTCAAGAAAACTTTGGAGGTCATGCTCCCTGCGGTGGCCCGAAAACAAATGGGCTATATCATGATTGGTCGATAAGCCAGCGGCCGTTGCACTACATGAACTTGTGCGTTGTCTTGTTTCCACTGTTCCAAGACTTGAAGTGGCTTGCTCGTCGAGAGGATCTCAGGGGACCTCTCCTCTAGGAACCATTCAAGCTCGAACTTACTGGAAAAAGCAGCAGCCAGTGCCTGCCAATCAAAATTGTGCACAATGTGGTCATCATGCCACAAAACCCAAGAGCTCCCGAATTTCTTGCGGGTGCACAGTCGTTTTGCTTGGGTGACTCAAGGATGGTCTGGACTGTTGTTCGATCCGACTGTTAAGTCCAGACTCTCTGGTCACATTCCCAAATCGTTGACGAAGCTCCCGAAAGCATTGTTTGCTGTGGGTCAAGTGGTGGATGAGAGAAACATGTGAGGTGTATTTTTTCATGCATACTTGGCAATCACTTCCAGTCGCTACCATGCGTGCTGGTGTGACACGATTATGCACTCGAAATGCATGAACAGCCCAAGCAGCTTTAGTGTCAAAAGCCTGCCTACACCGCACACAAAAATGTGGTGTTTGTGTGTCACGTGTGTACACTGGTAGCTCCAATTCGCCACTGACAGAAAGGATCTCAACCACCCTTATATGCCACTTCTGCCAGGCATTTGCCAATTGGATCTGTTTGATGGCGTGCTTTGCAGCATTGCCAATAGTTTTCTTCCAGCGCGAGGCTGACGCTCTGATGAAGTCATACCACGTCTCCCAGTCTGTGAGCAGAGTGCCATGTTCGAATGGGAATCTCCGCTGGTGTTGCAACCATTGCACTGCCTCCTCCATCTGTTGCCACCAACATGGCGATTGCTGAAGGAAGGCCCAGACAGGTTCATCCGCTGTATGGATCAGCTGTTGCAGGTATCGTAGTTTGGCAATATAAAGCTGCTGAAGCGGGGGCAAGACACCCAGAGTAGCATAAACTTCTCCGGAGCTCCATTCCTTCACTTGGATACCAAAATGCATGAACGCCACTCGTCGAATCAGCCCAAAAATTTTTATCTCGAAGTTCTGCTGCGCTGACTTTGTGAAGGGTTTCCAAATCACAAGGTTATACATAAGCGCTGACAAAACCAATGAATCAAACAATTGCACCTTCTTGTGTACTGGGAAACTTCTGTTCCCAAACAAAGCTGCTTTGTATTGGGTAAGCTTCCCATGAGCTGTGGCAAATCGTACACGAATTTCCTTCCATGGTGACCCATGAACATGAAGCCAACTTCCCAAATGCTTGTAGGCACCAGTGAGATGAAGTGGTGCAGCTACAATCTTTGACGTCGTTTGTAAGAGCTGTTGGTCCAATGCCAGGGTTCGTCTGAGGGGGAGACTGCCCTTCCCTTTAAGGGTGAGCATTGCCTCTGTCTTGCCTTTGGCAAGGTTGGGCTTCATCCCCGCAATACTCAATTTGTCAAACAGCGTTCCCGCAACCATAGCAGTTGCTTGTACAAGCTGAAGTGGGGAGGAATGCAAGTGCATATTTGTTCGCCCGTACCTTTTGTTGGCTGTTTGGCTCCGCTCCAACGAATTTCAAGGATACAGCCAATGGAAATCATCTGCTGTTCGACTTCCTTTAACAATTTTGCAAAGGTGTACGCAAACAGAAGATCAGCGTAGCTATCTCCTGGTCTGGTACCTTTCCTGGTTTGGGTGATGACATTGGAGCCCTTGACAACGAACCATGTATCATTCATGGCATCAGCCATTAAATGTTGAAGGTATTCTGGTACTTCAGCTTGCTCAAGAGCTGTGAGAGTGCTGCTATAGCGAACAAAATCTTCAAAGGCATGTTCACCCAAAGACAGAGTCGCAAACAGTTCCTGTATACCTTGTGTGTCGTTCAGTGATTTGATGGCATGCTGCCTCAACACACGGTAGAAGGCTTGTTGGATGTCAACAAACAACACTGCCGTTGAGTGCCCCCGTGCCCATGCTTGTTCCAGAAAAAGGTGTACAATATGAGCGGCCTGGGTGACAGATCTGTGAGGGAGTCCACCAAGTTGGGGAGGTAGTGCAAATTTCTGGAAATGCTCCATCAGTTGCTGTCTGATAAGACGATGATGAAGTTTCCCAATGGTTGAACTGATGAGCAAGGAACGATAGGATTCGTGCCTGTCACTAGGTCCACGTCCTTTGTACGCCTGGACTAGTGTGCCTCCTTTGAAGAGGAGTGGTTCAGTGCCCCAAACAAAATGCTTAAGCAGTAGGGGAAAGCATTTTTTAGCCAGCGCACCAGCTCCATAATGCAAGATTTCTGTCGGTATCCCATCCTCGAAGAAGGCTGTTCCACATTTGGTCCGACGCATAGCTCCCTCCAACTGAGTGAGTGTTGGAAGTTGAAACCAACCGCATCCAGATGTCTGTGTCGCGGATGAGGCCTTCTCAAGTAGATCTTCAGGTTGAGCGACCATGCCATCTTCCTGTTGGGCAAAAGAGCTCCGCCATGATTCCGTCCAACTCTCGAAGCCAGGAATCACCTGACCTTGTTCATCCAGGAGTCGCGGTAATGGTTGTAAATCTCTCTGGTACTTTTTCCCCGCAATACCAACCATTCTGAGCTTGGCATAGAGTTTTCCAGGTGGTCCACTGGCAGCTTCATCCGCAATTTGTTCGAGGTATTTGTTTCGATCCGCTCGTAGAAATCCCCTGAGCTCTTCTTTCGTGCGATGAAGTTGGAGCCCCAATTTGCGGCTGCGTACATATAAGAACCACAAGGCTTCCCATGCTTGGTCATGGACTTCCTGTATAGTGAGGATCGGGTTTTCCATGCAGTCCAGGCGATTGTGAGGTCATAGGTCCCGAAGCTGGATTTACTTGTAACAAGTAATCGTCGAAGTCCTGCTCGCTTGGACCGGACATCCCATGCTTCCTGCCCAATGTACGACCTTCGTGGGGTTCTCTTTTTGGGCGGGAAATGGTCAGACAACCACCGTGAAATGGTGTCCGTGAGTGTCTGCGCATGGGTGTGAACATTTTCTGTCCACGGGACATCAGGAATGGATTGAACGAGGTGTTGGATTTGGTCTTGTGTGATCGATCGGATCCCTTCTCTGTCATACTGCGGAACCCAGGGTTTTTGTGTGGCAATATAACTGAGCATTATCCAGACCCCCACAGCAATGTGGTCAAGCACAACTGTTCCCGGATCGAGGGTCGGAAGGATTTCACTAACGATTTGCTGGCATTTCCATTCGATGGGAATGGCAACATAGTCGCATCTGGCCAGCTCAGCATGCGCACATCGCCTCCATGTGCCAGTTTGACCTCTGTGGAAGGCATGAAACGTAGCAGGGAGGAACAGATTGAACGCCGCCAAAAATCGGCAAAATTTTTCTGCAGCAAAATTCCTTCGAAGTTCTGCTCCGTGGTCGCCGATCCAAGGCAGTTCCGCTGAGTCAAAATGAGCGTTCGCATCAATGCCCAGAAGGAAGTGACTGCGACCAGCTGGAAAGGGAGACAAGTGGGAGACGGTGCCTGGCCTTCCTAAGTCGACGATGCCAGGATGGTGAAGACGGAATGGCTCAAGCAAAGGGCGCGCGTGCGACTGTGCGCACTGGGGATCACGGTCTTTCCCCTCACGCATTACCCGGGTCTTCGCCTCGGTCTGGGGAGCCATGTCCTGGCCTGGGGAAATGTCCAGCAATCTGAGGGCACCTCTTCACTCCCTGGCTTTCAAAATGAAATTGTGCCAGACAGACGGCTTCTCGCTCAGATTCTTGAACACCTCAGCGGGGTTGTTGAAAATGTGCTCAAAGACCTTCGCCAAAGGTGAATCCCCTGAGATTTCCGGTTTTCCCCCTTCGAAAGCTCCAGCCATCGTCATGATGCGCTTCTTGAGTTCTGGTCCAGCCAGAAGTGGGCGGCCTTCTGAGCCAAGCCTGGCCCTCTCTTGAGCGGCCTGTGCCACCTTTGCGGCTTCTGTGTTCATGTTCTCCCCGTTCTTGTCGATGATTCCCTGGTCTCTGGACCGCAAGGCATCGCGAAGGCTTGGGCGAAGAGCAAGCTGCTGCAATGCCGGGGTCGGCTTCCCTGATGAGCTGGTCAAGAAGATCAAGGCCAGCTCTGGAAACGCCGCTCCAACTGCGTTGAGGCTATAGCCTCTCAACCCACTCACCTCTTTTTGTGAGGTCTTGTTCGCCATCACTGCCTTTTGGACTCCTTCCTTGAACTTCGCCTTCTTCTCTCCTAGATCCGTTGATTTCCTGGTTCCCAGGATCTGGATCAAGATGCTGGCCCTGATCAAGGCCGTGGCGGCCTCCTTGGGTCCAACTCCAGAGAGCTCTCTGGCTGCGTAGGCCCTGAGATCATCTGGGGAGGCCCCCTGGTAGCACCAATCGTCTGGTAGAGAGAACGTCGGAGCGTCCTCTGCGCTGATCGCCGCGACCAAAGCGTCCCAGGTCTCGATCGGCGCCGTTGCCATGCTGCCAGCGATCCACCAGCAGTCAAAAGACTCGTCAGAGTCGTGAATGTCAAGAATGGCAAAACCCCCCACCCGACGCTTCCCTGGAGGAAACGGTCAACCTTTATCCACCTGTTTCTTGTTCAGTGGAAAATATCCTCCCCAAAAGCTCTTGCTGGATATCCGCTGACTGGGTTTTTTTTCGGTTAATTGGAGAGAAGTCGCCCCCCCCGCGGAAACGTTCAGGTCGACCTTCAATCGTGTCCAGGTGCGATCGCAATGCTTTGCATTGAAGTGTTCGGGGTTCAAATCCTTCACTCCGTCCACATGAAGAAAGCAATTGGCCAATCATTATGAAGTGTTAACCTTGAACAAAGAACACTATAGTTGGCCCCTAACCCCTAAACCGGATCCACATTTGAACCTTTGAGAAGGTGATGAGGTATGTGGATTCCCAAAAACATAAATGATATAGGCATATATAGGCTGTCCCAAGACGCTTCCGTTGGTGCCTCGCTCTGGACACCGAAGACGCCCCGCAACCCCGCCGCGGGCCGCCTGACGGCGTTCAGCCTCCCAGGCAGCCCTGGCCACCTTGGCCTTGGGGGTTGCGGCACGGAAGCCTCTGGGGATGGGATTTCGGCCAACGAGCCCAGGTCCGAGCTCCAAGCCGCTGCACATGGTTGTATCACGATCATTTACGATAGAATGATACGTAAACCTTGGAACTGTGCAACAGGTCAAAAACCAAACAAAAGGGCCAACACAACCCCCAGGTCAATATAGTTGGACAATCGTAGAACATCTAAGGCCAACTTACTGGCCGCGGTGTCAGCTGCTTCAGAAGCCTTCCTAGTTTAGTAGCGGCTGAGACAGGAGGGGATACTTCGGAGATGGTTTCCAAAGTCATTTGGAAAGTATACCTGCCCATCTTTCGGGTCGGTATATCCCACTACCGGGCAGCCCAGTGGATGATTGTGGCGGCCGGCCGTATACTCTAAATACGAGTGATGACTGTGTGCCGACTGAGTCTTGGATGTTACAAACCCTATCCATATAGTTTCCGCGTGTTGAGGCGGTTTTCTCAGTACTTCAGCATACCAACAAAGGTTGAAGAACCCTATAGACTATCCCAGTTCGGTACCCCAGGTGACGGGTCCGAACGTTCAGGTCACTGGCTACCTCTCTTGGTACTTCCTCCGATGAGCTTTAAAAAGACGACCAATTCATCGATCACACGACGGGACCTGACGACCAGTCAACAGGTCGACCGTGGGCGGAGGAATGGAGACATACCGTGTGGCAGGTGGTGACCTGTTCCAGTCGGGTGCGAGAGTACAAGGACCCTGTGGGCCTCCAGTCGGCCCCCGAAGCGCTGCGTTTCCGTGGGAGAGGGGAGGGTGCTAGGAGGGTCCAGTGATACCTTCGTTTAGTCGGTACGACTGGAGGTGTAGGAATTGACAGACTTTGAGTTGCGACCCTAGTCGTCGCAGGATTCGCGGACACTAAGTGGCGACACCGACACGAGTGATCTCCATACCCAGAGACCAGTTGTGGTGTCCTCTCTTCGGGGGTGTCACCAATCCTCCAAAAGACTTGGGCACGTTATACACGCGTACTTCCTGGGTGGGTTATTTCAGGAGGCCGGACATCATGAACGATTCCTGCTCCATTTTTTGCATCACTACCAGGGCCCAGGGCACAGTGGATGATTCTTTTGTTAGGTTACGGACCCTTCGAACAAGGTAATCATCTTTTTGCTGACGGCTATACTTGTTTACTGAGACCCTCCCCAGTCCTCTCCATTTCAATCAATAGCATCTTCTCATGTCTTCCTGAACAATTGGTCAAAGGCTCAGCCTCTCAGGACTTCCTAAGAGGTCACAGCCTGCGATCTCCAAAAGCAGACCTTGGACAAGATCCAGTTGGGGAGTACCAGTGCGTTTCATTTTCTTCACTCCAAAGCTTGGGGAGTTGCGGGACCCCAGATTTTCTTGGAAGTCATGTCATTGATTCCTTGAATCGACGTTAGAAAAGAAAACAGCATGAGCATGTTGATGGGCAGGTAAAAGGGACAATGACGATTCCGAGGATGAATTCATGCAGGTTCACCATCGAAACCAACAAAAGAAAGAAGTAGTAGCAAGATGTAGCAAGTCTTCTTTCGGACAACAATCCTAAATTAATATCCTGGAAAACCTCATAGATACAAACTGGAAAACAGTATGAAGAAATCGATTCTCACCATCCGAAAAAAAAACGGCGGCCATGGGGGCCCATTGCCATCAGTCCCCCGACCGACACGGACGACTCCTTCATGCTGAGGCCTCTGGCTGCTTCTGCCTCTGCCCTGAGGCGCTTCACCTGAAGGGCGATCGAACAGAAGAAGTGCATGCATGGTTTTATTTTATAAAATCATTGAATGACTAATAATGTTAAAGATGAACTCCTAAAATCATTGAATGACCATGTTCTGTTCAGTTTTGTCCATTGTATTGTAATCTAAAGATTTTATGACACTAACAAAAAAAACGTACAAAACGTACACAGCCAAACATATACCAAAGTTGTCTCACACCAAAGCTGGCTGTCATGGAGGATTTCGCAGCATGTCCTGCGATGAAATTGGACAAACATATAACATATATCTATAGATACCTGGACCTAGAGCTCATTTGACCCCCCACTTCGCCTTCATTTCGCTTTTGCGGCGTCTGTGGAGCCAAATTTCCCTAGTCTACCCATGCGCAACGCGCGCACAGGTGTTTTGGTTTCCCGCGCTGTTCCAGCCGGCCTCGTTGCTGAGCTTCCGCCGTTGTAACTCGTCCCGGCTCCGCTCCAGTTGCAGCTGGCGCACCTGCCAGGCGGGCGAGGCGTCGGGGGGATGCTCCGCTATGGTAGGGACCCGAGATGCGAACCGACCGGAGCCAGCCAGTTTGGGCATCGCGAAGCGAACGGAACGTTCGGACGCTCAATCTGGTTGGAGGCCATCGATCTGAGGTTGGTTGCCTGGGAGAATTGTTGTGGAGCTGCACTACCAATCACCTCAGCTTCGGGTATGGCTGGACCCGACCAATCCGACCGGTTAGATATCAAGGGAGTCGAACGCATCACCTTCTCAGGGGGTCGTGACACGGGTGTCGACTTTAAGAGTAGATGGTCACCAAAGGGTACCAAAACATACAACTGGTAGAAAAAAAGAATACAACTTCAGTCAGTTGCAATCGGACAGCCATGTTTTTTCAACATGGGTTGTCTAAAACGTCACAGGCCGCTGTTTGAAGCACTGAGATCCCAACAAATGAGACATGAAGGAAGAATGCCAAGAAAAAATCGATCGAAACCAAACAGATCGATCAAATCTTGTCTGTGACTTATTCTAACGGGCTGTTCCAACAGATCGACTCCACCAATAGAGATCGACGTCCCTGTGAGGTTCTCTCCCAACCCCCCTACAGATACCCTCATGATTCCTGGAGATCAATCTACCTGGAGTCTCAAAGTATCTTGGAAAATGCGTACAAGTACCTGTTTGTATGGGGTCCTGTCCCATTTTCTAAGGTATTCCTGGAGATCAACCTACCATGATTGTGGGGGGGGGGGAAGGTTTGGTGCCGCACAGCGACGTCAAGTGGATCGCACACCCACCATTTGGGCGAAAGATCATGGCGGGTATTTAAGTGGATCCCCTACCTCTCCTCTCTTCCCCACCAGCCAAGCGGTGGTCCTTGTTTTCCAAGTCCATCCGCAGCTTTTCCAGCTCCACCGTCCTCACCTGCGCAAATAAGCGTTCTTTCTCGATGTCGAAGTGGAGGATGGGGGGTTGTTGCCAACACATGGCTCGATTAAGAATTCGACTGACAAGGCAGGGTGAGAGGGCGTTCATTTCCTATTGCTCTTTTGAGTTTCATTCATCATGAGAGTAGCGAGGTTTCTTTTACTCCAGGTGCGACTGCCATATGAATGCAACTCCGAGCCTGGTAGGTCTCAGCCAAAAGGTGGGCATGCCGCAGCCTCAAGCTGCAGCACCCGAAATACTGGACGTGTGAAACCTGGTGACAAACCAAGACCTGGTCTGTCAGACTCCGCCACTCCAAGGGATCCCGGTCAGGAACTGCCCTCAACGCGGTACAAAAACACTATGTTGGAGCAGGAACTGCCCTCACTGGGTCAGACTGGAGGTACGTAGGGTAGGATTCCTCTTTCTTTGACGAACGCTAGGGCTCCAACCACCTCCTGAGAAGATGGTTGGGGTGGGTTTGGGGGGTCTAACCACCTTCTGAGGATATGGTTGGAGCCCTAGGGGAAAGCAGTTTTGCAAGTTTTGGTCCCCAAATGTGGCTGTGAGTAGACATCTCATCCATGTGGCGTCCACGTGCGGCGAAATGACCATGCACTTGAACTCTTTCACATGTATATGCAACCAAATGACCTTTCTAAGGGCACTTGGAAGAATCTTGTATGGATTCTCTCGCAACAACAATCTGTGGCTCGACAGAAGTGTACTCTGCCTAACTCTCCTCCACAACCGTCACAGGATCCGATTTTCAAAAATGTTCTAGGAACCGTACCCCAAACTGGTTTCAAATGTTTTGAACTAAATGCCATGCAAACTTGCTTGGAAGTCGGGATACTCTGAATGGAGCGCCATCACTCTACCCGGATGACAAAAGAGACAGTCGAAAGGCTTCCATTTTGGCCATAGTCCTAACCATGCCAGTGATGACGCCCTCGAAGCTCTGTATCTCAAGATTGATATTGAAGTCTTGTATACATTATACATGTTGATGCGCCGACTGGTACCAGTATATTATATGTCATTTGCTTGAAGCAAATAAACAACAAATCCACGACAAAAAAATAAACCTGCGTTGACAACTGGAGAATGATTGAAACCCTCCATATTTTATTGAACAAATTGAAAGGTTTCACCGAAATTTCTACCGGATGTTGTTTTGCAACGAAAAAAACTTCCGAAATGTGTCCAATTCTCCACAAAAAACACAGCTTGGGCAGGTGATCCAGGTACTTCCTATAGATTACAGTGTCACTGATGTGTCACTGATTGAAGAACACATTTCAAACCTCCGAGGTCCCTCACGCTCGTGTTCGGTGCGAAGGACGTCCACATGACCTTCGTCATCCTTCGCCAAGAGGCTCCTCCCGAAGCTTCACTTCATCGATGGCGCGGCGCTCCTGGAGAGACCCTTTCTACTGGGCCGGAGTCACAGGCAAACATAACCAAACAGTGTGTTGAGCATGACTGACTGCCGAATACTGCCCTTTTAATATATATATATATATAAATCTATATATAACACAACGCTTGCAATGTGATCGCCAGGGCGGTGGAAACACTTCGGTTGCTGAATCGAATGAAAAACAACTCCTCTTGTGAATTCTTTGCACTTGTTGTGCTCCAACTATGCCAGAAGTGCGCGATGAATGTTGTACGTGATTTTTTGATTGAATTTGGTTCAGCCTGTTCTGGCTGTTGCGTGTTTTGAACCATATTATATGCTGCCACTCTTGTTTCCAGAGGTTTCTTTGGTGGCTTGAAGACGGTTGATCACCCAACAGTTATGGAAGGCGTTGTTTCAATGTTGTTTTTGACTGGAATCCCGATGAACAAATCGTTGATTTTTACTCTACTCTTGGCTGGGCTGTTTATTTGCGTTTGATCTCCCGGCATGTAGACAAGATGCAAAGTACAAACGTCAAAAAAACAATAACTTGGACTGCAAGCTGGGCAAGCTTCAGCCCATGGAATCAGGCATGTACATGTGTCTGACAAAAAGAGAGGGAAGTTATAAGGGCATGAAATGATCCCGGCAAGAGACCCCATACAGTGTGTTTGAGGTCTAGAGGTGCACAGGCAGAAAGTCTAGAGATCTAGACGTATTAGGGTCCAGAGAGGTGATGGCGGGGATGAAGGTGGAGATCGTGGTGATGGTGGTGGTGATGGTGGAGGTTCGCGGGCCGAGCTGAAATACTACGCCTGCAACGAAATCTGCCATTCAAGGTTCACAAAGCAGTGCACCTGCCATGAAATCTGCACTTCAAGGTCCACAAAGTACTGCAGCTGCCACGACATTTCCACTTCAAGGTCCACAAAGTACTGCACCTGCCACGAAATTTGCACTTGCAGGCCCACAAAATATTCCACCTGCCACGAAATCTGCACTTCAAGGCCCACAAAGTACTGCACCTGGCACGAACTTTGCACTTCCAGGCCCGCAAAGTATTGCACCTGCCACGAAATCTGCACTTCGAGGCCACAAAGTACTGCAAGTGCCACGAAATCTGCGCTTCAGATTCAAGGTCCACAAAGTACTACGCGTGCCACGAAATCTGCACTTCAAGGTCCACAAAGTACTGCGCCTGCTACGATTTCTGAAAACGAACCACATGTCCAAAAGTATCCAAAAAAGTCGCAATTCACTGCACCCGCCACGAGACCAGAGTATGCCGAAGACCACCACCATGTCCAAAGTACTGCACCTGCCACACAATGTCACGAAAAGTCGACTTTAGACCACCAAAGCACGAGGCGTCCCTTGCGCTTGCCACGAAAAGTGATCACCATCAAGTCCAAACATGGGCGCGACACCACAACAAGAGCGCGCCTCTGTCAAGCACCGTCCCGCGGCCCGCGTTTCGCGCGACCCTGCACAAAGAATTTGCACTTTGAAATATCAGAACTTTTGCACTTTGAAATCTCAGAACGGAACTTTTCTGCGAGCGTGCGCAGCCAAAACGCTAAGCCAGGGTCTATCGTAAGAACCCCTCCGCGTGCACACACTGTTTGCGGAAAAACAACCCCGACGCCATTCTGAACGCATTCCGCAGCAAGGGCCCAAAGACACGCAGAACATGAGTTCTCATTGTGATTTGGAGCGTTCGCAAATCACTCGTTCAGATCCCTTTCGACCCAGCTCAAGCATTTCTTTTACTCCTTGGCGCCGATGGCCTAACATCACGTTCTTTTTGCAATGGGCATCTTCCAAACTCTGTCCACTTAGACTTCCATGTTTGTTGGAGGGGGTGTCATCCCTCGCGGACGGTCCGTACCGTGCCTTTTAGGTCTGCGCCACTGAAGTTGCAGCCAAATCAAGTGGAGGCAGAACCTGTGGAATGTTCACAATGTCTCTGGTGAAATGCGACCAGCAGCACTGTTATTGCGCGCTTAGTCTGCTTAACTGTCCACTTTGCAGCATCAGGCTCAAACACCTTCGCGCTCGTAGAGTTTGGGGTGCAACCAAGGCACGGTCTTGGCGCCCCCGCGGCTGAACTGCGGATCGCGCTTGGCAACTCTGCGCCAAGAACTGACCTTACAAGATCAGTCCGTTTGCGATGCGCCCCCGAAGTCACGTGGTGTTACCATGGATGAACTGGACAGCTTATATATGGGACGACGACAACATCAAGAAGTTCATGAGAAGACCACGTCCAATCCCAGATGGATGTATCCTGGAATACGCTGCTATAAGCTTGGTCCGCCTGCGCGGCTTGGCGTGCAAAATATCACCTATCGCGCTACGGGCCGAGGTGGTGGGACTATGATGAAACCGAAGGGACCGGGCTGCACGGCGATCATTCTTGGAGCCTGGCAGAGCAATCATCTTCTTGCGCAATCATCATGATGACATCAAAAATTCAACATGTGAAGCAATTTGCGCAATCATCTGCAGTGCAATTGAAGACATCAAAATTTCAACGTGTGAAGCAATGCCTCCACGGTGACTGATGGCATAGGATCGTGCCAGGTGACACGCCGCCGGGCCTCGCAAGTCGAAAACAAAAGTCGAAACAAAAGGCAACAAAGTATAATACTAAAACCAAAACAAGCACTGGCCCTGGAGGTGCGTCCTCAAGTGCCTTCACGGAGGGCCGATGATCTGCCGCCCGGATAAGGAATCGCAAAATCAGTGCAAGGTGCAATACAAGTAAGGAGGTGTGAAAACTTGCTTCAAGTGCCAGGGAGGGTCCATGATCGGCCTCATGGATACTCGAACTGGAAAGCCTATACAATTAAATTTCATGAAACCTACAACCCCAGCCTCACGTCTCTTCTTTCCCAAGGGCTCGGTCTCAGCAGAGTTCTCAGCAGATACCTGTCACATGACTTGCATTGATTACAATGAGGTGAATGAAGTGAATGAACTCCACAAGGGCCTCATCGAGCTCCAGTCTTCTTTTCACACTGGCCTCAACCAAAAAAGAACGCAAACAAAGGCAAACAAATACAGGAAGAATCCAAACTGAAGGACGACGCCATCATGCTGTCTGGTCTCTACACCTGAACCGCGGGATACTTTCATTGTATCAGCGACCCAAGCGCCTGTCCACCTCTTCCGTTCACACACGTGGCCAGTCAACCCCTGGCCGGAGAATTACTCAAGCATTCTCGCAGCGGGATTCAATGCGTGTCTACTCGGCCGCTCCCCCTTCGTTGAGGTGTTCGGCCGAGCCAGAAGAAGAGGAAGCAAAGGAAGCCAGAAGCAAAAACTGAACTCTTGCCCAAGCACCGGTTAAATTCTTGCCCATGCCATGAAGTTGGGTTTATTGAAAGACACCCAACAACTGTTGCTCAACTACAGCACTGGGCCTTGGGTATATGTGGCCAGACACTGCATGTATGCCATATTTGCCTAGATTGGGGTGGTGTGGGGGTCAATCAATGTAGTCTGGGTGTGGCCAGAATATGGGCCCTTCGGCCTCGTGTTGATTTCACCTGGGTTTTGGACCACGAAGCCAAACGAAACCTAAAAAGAGCATAGGTCTCCTGAGTTTCTCAAGCGATTAACTCTTGCTCAAGGTGCCCTATCAGCAAACTAAAGGTGACCCTCCAGATGGGCACCCTTTGAGGGCACCCTGGCTAGTCTATTTTTAACTTTTTGAAATTGCTTTAAAGTTGATCTTATTTAGGATTAAAATTGCCACAAAAGAGATTAGCGATGCTAGGAAATGATACAAATGATTGAAGAATGACATTTAAAGAGATTAAGTATGATTTGAAATGAATTCGCTCAAAATTTCCACCGAGTAAAACTATGAGTGAACCAAAAGTGTTTTCACGAGTAAGTCCACGAGTCGAGCCACGAGTGAACTTGCAAGCAACATGAAAATACAACGTTTCCTTTTACGAAGAGTTGACGAGTCGAGCGACAAGTGAACTTACAAACACAATTGCAATGAATCAAGCACTAAGTACAAGCGGTTCCTTTACGATAACCGACGGGTCGAGGAGCACTGTGCTGTCAGGGATTGTGACAAGCAAGGTTTTTGAAACTAGTCAAGTTTTGGCTGAAGAGCTCTGTGCTGGCAGGGATTGTGACAAGTAAGGTTTTTGAAACTAGTCAACTCCCTGCTGAGCACTGTGCTGGCAGGGATTGTTACTGAAATATTTTTGAATCTAGTCAAGTTTTTGCTGAAGAGCACTGCCCTGACTGGAATCGTGAAGAGTAAGTTTTCTGAACCTATATAGTCAAGTTTTGGCTGAAGAGCACTGTGCAAGTAAGGTTCTTGCAGCTGAAAATGCCCTCCAAGGCCAACTGCGGTCCAGAAGGCTTTGTGAAATCATGATGTTCCTCGCTGTACAGGATATCCATGGCCATCCCAGACCACGCATTTTCATGCATGCCCGGCTAAGGTTGCCCTTGCCTGCAAAGTACTCCACGAAGTCAAAGAACGGAGTACTTATGGCCCTTATGGCTGTACTGATTCCATGCAACACTCTTCATCAGACTAGGAAGCGTGTACATCCAGACACGGATGGAGCTTCACAAAAAGGGGATTGACATGAAAATGCACCCTCACCCTGTTTGTAGAGAAGTTCGATCGATGTCATGGTCCTTCCGCCATGCCTGAACATGCAGCAATCCCCTTCCATGAGGACATTGGAGGGAGGGTGACTCCACGAGGTAGTCATAATCCAGACTCTCAGGGTGTGATATCTAATGAGCGGACAATCTATGACGTCTACATAGGTCTGCATAGGTCTGCAACACCTGGTTTCCCCCCGCCGGAAACTGAAGAATCTGATTCATCTCCTCGGCATCGCTCCGCTCGGCAGCAGTGCCCGAGACCTGACAAAGAAACGCTCTTTCTGTTGTTGACTTGGATTTGCTGCATACATAGCTTCCCTGAAACTCTAGGAAGCAAATCATTAGTGGGAGTGCTATCCTGCGTCCTACCTATAGAAGCTGACTTCTCCCTTACTTAATCAAGTAAGGGCGCTGAAACGAATTTGGCTCGCAAGAAGGTGCCAGTCTGTGACAAACCTCTTGCTACCCAAATTTTAGGTTGGAGGCCATTGTAGTAGGTTGAGGCCATTCTTAGGCTGGCGGCCATCGCTTTTAGGTTGGAGGCCATTGCTATTAGGTTGCCTTGGAGGCCATTACTATTAGGTTGGAGGCTATCGCTATTAGGTTGGAGGCCATTGCTATTATTTTGGAGGCCATCGCTATCATTTTGGAGGCCATCGCTCTTAGGTTGCAGGCCATTGGCCATCACTCTCAGGTTGGAGGCCATCGCTCTAAGGTCGGAGGCCATTGCTATTAGATTGGGGGCCATCGCTCTTTGGTTGGAGGCCATAGCTGATAGGTTGGAGGCCATCGTTATTAGGTTGTAGGCCATCGCTTTTAGGTTGGAGGCCATCGCTATTAGGTTGGAGACCATCGCTCTGCCAACGTTCTTAGGTTAGAGGCCATTCCTATTAGGTTGGAGGCACGGTATACTTCTCAGGAAGGTCTGGTTTAGCAGCTTAGCAGGGGCCCTTGCTGCAATGATCCCTGGGCGGCGCCTTTTGTGAAGTGAGCCATATCGCTGTGAAAGTTTTTGAGCCGACCAAAGGGTCACTCGACCGCTTCTCTGCCTTAGTATCGGGTGTTGAAATAGAATAGGCAAACCTCGCAGGCAACAACGCCCTGCAAGAAGGACATATAAACAAGAACTCAGTGGGCCAGGGTGTTTTCCTACTTAAATGCGTGTCCCTTACTTGAAGTTAATTGCTTTCTGACTTGTACCTGAATGTTTGGCTCGGCTCCTGTGTGGTCAGTCCTCATACAACACATACACAAACGTGTGCCATTACAACTCATTTCACAAGCATTTCACTATCTTAGACTGTCGGATTGTGAGAGTGGACTGCCCCAGTCTACAACTAGTGTTGCACTAGTGTTGCACATTAATTCAATGAAACAAAAAAACAAACAAACAAACAAACAAACACATCTTCCCCACATGCGAATGCAGGTTGGAGGCCATAGCTATTAGGTCGGAGGCCATCGCCTAACTACCTCAAAGACTGGCGCAGGATGATCGCCCATCAGCACAATCTTTGGGGTCTGTACGCCTTGTATACTGAAGCAAAGCCATTTGCATACTGAATTCTTTAGTAGACATCTCTCTTTCCCCCATGTGATTTTTTCTTTGTTTGTTTTTTTTCACGTCCCTGTATAGATCTGTTTTGTAAACATTTGTTTTTCACCTAATTATAAACTTCAGATAATTCCTTTTAACCGTTCCCTGTCAGAAACCGTTGGCCTTGGAGAGCGTTTATTGCGCCGCCCCGCCTGCGCTTCGAGCTCCAGCTTCCGAAGAATGGCGTCCTCGAAACGAGGAGAAGCCGAGGCATTTTTTTTCACAGCCAGAGGTCGTTTGCGGGAACCCAGCAGAAACCAAGAGACCCCAAGACGAACCACTCCAGGACCTGCATGACGATTGGAAGACATGGAAACAATTCTTAATTATTTGATCCTTTATTGCAAACACCAGCTGTGTTGCTGCATGTTTGAATGAGAAATCACAAAATGAGTTCAGTCAGATGAAAGATTAAACGGTGGCAGAGTAGGGTTCTAGGCCCTCACGGTGTCTGACAGGTGGTGCACACGAAAAGACTATCAAACCTGGCAGTTTCCATGCACACAACAACATGCGGAATACATTATGCCGCTACAAACAAGTTATCGTCCTGGACTATGTAGAAAATGGCTGACGTGAAAACATTGACCCCCTAGGCCTGTAGTTTCGAAAGGTTTCGAACATTGACTTCAAGAACGACTTGCGACCATATTCAATCTGCTTTAGAATCTTTAGAATGATTAATAATCATATGGCGTTCCCTCAAAATCCTTGAGCAAAAGTCTATAGGATGCTTGAACATAGCTACTATACACCCCAGAACCGTGCAATACTTAGCAACAACAAGAAAAGGTAGAGGTCCAATTCCTGTTCCAATGTGAACCATCAAGCAGTCAAACATGTTCGTACTAAGTTCGTACCAATCGAACAGCTGCTCAATTCAAGACTCGACTCGTATAGGGGGTTGGAGCTGGTCCGTTCTTGGCCGTTTGGCTTTTCGCTTCGCCTTCGCTTCGTCCGCTGAAGCCCGGCGCGACCGGTCGACCGGTCGACGGGTCGCACCTTGGCCGTCTCTCGGAGGTTCTGCACCTCAGCGCCGCCGGCACGACTGCAGGTGCGTCGCTGCCAGGGAGTGGTGTTAAAGCTGTGTTCTACACGTACTGAACACCTGGTTTTTTAGGGGTGAGAGGGGTGTTTAGGGCCGTCTCAGAGACGGGCCGTAGTGATTGGTCGACTGGATGGCATAGGATGGCATAGGGTGGGGGGGTGAAAGACCGAAAGGCTTTGGTTAAACCATGTTCACAACCATGTTAAACATGCACAACTATCCCAGACACTCCATGTATAGCATATATGCCTACATTGACCCCCCAAACCACCCCAATGTAGGTAAATATGGCATACATGGAGTGTCTGGGTATCATTTCCTCCCTCCATTCTCCGACGAAATGTCGTCGACGAAAGTGAGAATTCGCCGACGAAAGCGGCCACTTCCGGGTCGTGAGAAACAGCAACAGGTGGTGAAGTGGTCTATATCATGTGCACCGACGAAAGCCGTGCATTGAATCGGAAACTGTGAAACCCCAAGCCTCTTCGGAAGAAGAACACGGTTGAGTTGAGTGAACCCTTCAGTTAACACGTCTGTCTGTTATGCTTTTGAATGGGTAACACCAATTCACCCAAAAACTTGGGGCAGGTGATGATCCACGGTTCGAAATCTGGGTGGGACGGCAGTTGGCTTAGCATCCTAACATATCCTAACCCAAACCATCCATGGCAGCCTATTGCCTCCTATGGACCGATCGGTTGGGGCGATGTCATTGAAGGGGGTCAATGGAGCAAACATGCGGCGTCCGAGGCCTAACTGTTGCAAGAATCCTACGGTTTGCTCATCATCAGTTGCGGATCAAGAAACAAAGAGAACAACACTCAGCCAATGATCAGGCCAATGAACTCGCAAGATACAACTTATCTTTTCTGTTCAGTTCCTTACTATCGCCCTTCTTTCTTTTGCGGACTCTTCATCGTGTCCTTCCGGGATGGGCATGGATGGGCTGCCACGGCAGCTTCGAGGGATAACCACTGGCACTAGAAGGAGGAGTCCTACAAGGAGTCACAAGGAGGATGGTCTGTCATAAACACCATGGTTTTGGCCCACATACGATTTGCTTGTTCCCTGTGCCTGTGAGGTCAGACTATGTTTAGGGATGAAGGGGTACCTCTACGGCGAGGGAGAAGGTGAAACAGGTGTAGCTAGATCGAGCAAATGTGAAGGTGAAGGTGAACAAGAAAAAGTGCACACAAAAGGGGGAGAAAGGAAAACACATGGAAGCAGATCGGAAAGCAAAAACCCGATGGCCGGTGGCGGCCAAAGATGCCTTTAAATTGCCATCGACCTTTTCGATTCATAAAATTATACGTTCGACCTGTTATGGACCTGCCATGGTCGGTTCCAATCGTACCTGAAGTTCGGTACGACTGGAACTTTTCAGGTTTCTGTCCAGCTCCGGGGGAGTCTTTTTGGAAGTGAAAAAGACACCTGCGTCTTTTTCTCCCCCTTGATTTGAATTGAGGAGTACAAATGCAGGCCATAGTAGGTTGGAGGCCAATGCCCTGAGGGTGGAGGCCATCACTAGTAGGTTGGAGGCCATCGCTAGTAGGTTGGAGGCCAATGCCCTGAGGGTGGAGGCCATCACTAGTAGGTTGGAGGCCGTCACTAGTAGGTTGCAGGCCATCGTTAGTGGGTTGGACGCCATCGCTAGTAGGTTGGAGGCGATCGCCAGTAGGTTGCAGGCCATCGCTAGTGGGTTGGAGGCCATGGCTAGTCGGTTGGAGGCCATCACTAGTTGTTTTCCATTGAGGAGTACAAATGACCAGAACAATCCCAACCCTTTCGAAATCAATCGGTCTGTGGATGCGGCGGGCAAGCACACCGTGTGGCGCTCTCCGTCGTCGTGCGCACCGTCGGGACTTCTTAAGCGCTGAAAAAGGTAGGAAATGGTAGGAGTAAGTGACTTCTAGAGAGAACTGGAGTTCAAGTCTCTAAGTACCTACTGAAAAAATATAACACATCAAATTATACAACATTATGACTCACTCTAAAGACAATGAATTATCAAACCTTTTTTGTTCTGTCTTGCTTAGAGGCATTCAATAGAGAATGACGGCGTCCCAAAGCCTGAATTTGTTCTTTGATTCTCCCGGCAAGGAGCACCCCGAAGCACACTTCTTTAAGCGTGGCACAACCGAGAAGAAGGGGACCAGGTTGGAGAGCTGCTCCTGATCCGATACAGATCCGCCCGCAGCAAAACAGCGTGTGGAGACCTGTTTTGCGAAGTTTCTCCCAGGTGGAGTCTTGTTGAAGACCCCTAGGGCCTATGGATGTTTCTCATGAAATTGTACAGAGATATACAGAGTGTTCTTCTTGCACTATTGATCTACACGGTCTCTGTCAAGAGGCTTTGTGTCAATGCTTTTTGGGATGAACACGTGAGCACAGCTGTGCAGTTCGTTTCGCTCTCGCTCTCTCCCATGGTCGACCGGCCTTCGACCTATGGATTTGGTGACTTCCCATGGCACAGCCGATGTTCAGAGATGTTCAATCCTAAAAGGCGCGTACTCTTCAGGACATGTAGAAAGGATTAGAAAAGGGCTTTGGCCAGGTTGAAGTACATACTCCAGAGTGTTCTTCCTGAACTATAGTTCCAAACGAAAGCATTGATTGCCAGTCGTACAGAGGGGTGGTAACAGCCAGAACTGGCTTTCAGAATCTGAAGTGCATCTCAAACAAATTGACCAAGGAGGCCGAGGTCAGCCCAGAAATCTTCTGGATTTCAATGGATTTCAAGGTCTCTGGATCTGGAAGCTTGGAAGTCTTCGCTTGGATTGGGAAGCGAAGTTCGCTTGCCCCCCACATGCTCATGTGACTCATGGACCATCGTATGGAGGGTCTGAGAGCTTTTTGGAGCGTCTGGGCCAAATAAATTTCCAGGCTCCACATTCTTGGGGACTCCAACCCAAGAGCGATGGCCTCCACCCTACGAGCGCGATGGCCTCCAACCTACGAGCTTAAGGGCTTTTTGGAGTGTCTGGGCCAGATTACAGGATTCCAGGCTCGACGGAGTCCACGGCCCAAAGCAGTCTACGCCATGTTCTCGCATGCGCCGTCTACATGCGACCATCCGAAAAGCCCCCGTCCTCCGCGATGCGCGGCAAAGCTTTCCCTGAGAGCCAGGGAGCGAGGAAGTCATGATCGAATCGATGGAGTTGAACAAGGCTTCTTCAACCCCCCTTCGAATTAAGTCTCCCTCCCGGGTTGTCTAATTCTTTAGGGAACATTTCAAGAGGGTTGCTTCTTCTACATATTTTTGTTGAGGAACTCCTGGCATCGCTACGATCGGGGCTCCTGGCATCGCTACGAACGGAGCGATCGGACGCTACGATCGGGGCTCCTGGCCTTACTACTACCTGGAAACCCAAACAACCAGAAACAAATGGTTGTTCCAATATGGCAATTGAAATCCTTTACATAGGAAATGGCTGTTTGGGGAAACATCCATTTGTTTTTGGTTGTTTGGTTTCCCAGGTAGTAACAAGAAGCTACTATAGGAGCAAATACTGTGCAAACAGCTCGTGTCTTTTCACGCCATGCAGTTGTACAGTATCTCAAACCAGTCTACAGAGTTGTGCACCGAAGATGTCCGCATTTCACTATATCCACTTTTATTGGGTAAGGAGCGATGCTGGTTGCCCAGCGACATGAACATTCCCTATATGGATCCATCTGCCTTCGAAAAGAAAGTACTTGGACCCTCCAAACCAAGTGTCTCGAATCACCGTACCAAGTGTCTAGGTACGACTAGGGATTTAAACATCACGGTGCTTCTGATCTTCGTGGCTGAGAACAGGTCCTCAATTGCTTGATCGAGAGATGGGGAAATGGAAAGACTCCATTCACAAACCCTTCCAACAGGGTGCAACGCAGCTAAAACTCAGCTAGGCCTAGCTAGGCCTCCGTTGCCCAAATAGGGTGCTGCACCTTGCATGTTCACTTGAAGTTTCCTAAGACCAAAAGGGGCCTCCAAGACCTCGCACTCGCGCGCCAGGCAGGCGTGCGGCGTGTGGCCTTGAAGTCCGTCCTTCTGCGGCTCATAAAGCCTCACGTAGTCCTTGAAGACTGCAACAAAGAGCTCCTCATCGCAGCGGACGGTGCCCGGGTTCAGGACGGAGTTTGCAGGTCTGACTTCAGGACGGGGGTCCGTCCCACTTGAAAGGAGGCCAGTGTAGAAAGGGACTGGCACGTGTCGCAGAAACGGACTGGCTTCGCCCAGTGTAGATCTTTTGGGTCTTTGGATGCACGCCACACTCGTGATGACAAGTCTGCAGGATTCATCAATTGAAGTCATCAAAGGATGAAATCGGATCCATGGAATGGGATTCATAGGGATTCCAAGTCTGTTGCACGGGAACAAAAGTCATCAAGTGTTAGGAGTCACGTCACGTCAAACAAATCTGAGTATGAGGATGAGCATCTTGGTGGTTTGCATGAATTTGAGACATGGAAAGGACACGCGTTCCCAGTCTGTGGATTGCTGGAAGGCCACCGCTAGTAGGTTGGAGGTCATTGCTATTAGGTTGGAGGCCATCACTAGTAGGTTGGAGGAGAGGATGTTGGAGGCCATTGCTAGTATTCTGTGGGCTGCTGGTTGCCAGTTTCTACTTTGTCCACCAAGCGAGCACCTGCAGTGCAAACAATTTTCGAATCTCTATACGCCTCTCAATGGGTACAACCAACGCGACCAACACCTCAATCTAAAAGCTACCACCATGCACCACTACTTGTACTACTTACAACTTACTAGTTGCTGACTGGTAATGTTATTCCTACTCCTACTACCACCCTACCACCACCACAACCACCACCCGCAGCAGCACCACCATCCATCACCCACCACTCACTGTGAATACTAAAAAAATTCTACCCCCCCTGATGAGGTTGACCACCCCGGCCTCGATCAAAACTGAAAAACACACACACCGTTGGAGGCCATCGCTAGTAGGTTGGAGGCCATCACTAGTAGGTTGGAGACCATCGCTGGTAGGTTGGAGGCCATCGCTGGTAGGTTGGAGGCCATCGCTGGTAGGTTGGAGGCCAT